AGGAAACATCCTGGGAGATGAAAAATGGAAGTAAAAAAAAGAAGAGCTGATATCACACCTGAGTAATAAATCACCAAGATTCAAGGCAGAAAAAAAATCCATTCTCTTCTCATTGACTTGCAATGATGATTGAATTCTGCATCCAGCTACTCCTTATAAATGTTTTTTTTTGCTTTTTGTTTTTTGTTTTTGCTTTCTAGATCTTACCTCCCCTTTGAACCCACAATTTCTAAACCGTGTTTCACTTTGTGCAAATCCCAAGTTCAGGGTAGCTCTGGAATGTGTCATCCTTGATATTTTTTCATATTAATAGCTTAGTCCTCTTCACAAATGATGACTTTGAAAAATCAGAAATACTTAATGCAAATCCTTAGTAGCTGTTCTTCTGGATATAACTCTTTAGAACTGGGTGTCCTGCGAGGAGACATTTTTGAATGTCCCAGCAGAGTCAGCATTAACCTCTCTACCACAGCACATACTTTACCATGTATTTATACTAGCCAAACATAAATAGATAAATAAAATCAACAGAACTTAGTCCAGAGGCTCAAGCGCATTATACCATTCCAATGAAGTACAATGTCAAACCCAATAAATTTGGTTTCCTCCTGAATGCATTAGCTTGTAACTCCAGACCAACTTCCGGCTGCAGTGAGATTAATAGGATGGAATGTGTCAAGATAAATGAAATACTCACTAATGCCGTCCTAAGCCTTATCTGTAAAATCTACGGCTTTTGCCACGTATTTTCACTCCCAAGCACCGTCAGCTTAAATATGGTTCTTACAATGAATCACATGACTCAATCAACAAGGAGGAAGACCTAGAACCCTTAGGGGGCAGGTGCCATTGCAACGCGACACTTGAGACAATTGGTGGAGAGCCATAAGTTTTTCTATAACTTTGCATCACATGCATTTCTTTCTTCTTTATTTTGATTCTTCTCCTTTTTCTTTACTGCTCCCTTTCTTCGTTCTGTCCCATTTTTCCTTTCCCCCCTACTCAAGCCAGCATGTCAGTGTTTCTCAAACTGTAAGCTACAACCTGTTAATCACTCATAAAATCAATTTAGTAGGCCACGGCCAGCCATTTTTAAAATCAACTACAATAGAACATTTCAGGGTGCATGGCTATGTCAAGGGTAATACTGTTTCAGAAACTCTTGTTTCAGCCCATGACTGCACCCTGGGTCATGATGGAAAATATATTCCTTCACGAAGAGCAGTACCAGGGTATATTGCCTGCCTCCATTCATGGTACTTGGGGCATAAGAGGTGGCAGCCTGCGGGATGTAGTAGATCACCAAGCAAGGCATCATGGAGCCTGGAATACTGCTCTCGCTCTGTCACTGTCACAGTGTACAGTATGCGTATGTTCCTTCAGTTTGTTTAAGTGTTAGATAAACATAAGGTGTTTATACACACATACACATACATATACCATATATGTACACACATAAAGCATATATACACATAATATAAACAGAATAGATATAGATAGATATAGATACAGATATAGATATAGATCTATTGGGTTGTCGGAAAAGTCATGATGCATTTTTGCAATGAAAAACATAGAAAAAATACGTCATAACTTTTCCGACAATCCAATAGATATAGATATACAGATAGTGCATGCTGGTTTTACTCGGGAGCGGTAGAGTCCAAGGATGCTGCCAAACCTCCCATGTTGCACGTAACAATCCCTCACAACAAATAATTATCTGGTCTAAAATGTCAATAGTGCTGAGGTTGAGAAACCCTGATATATCCATACATATATCCAACTACTATTTAGAAAAATCTAGGGAAAAGATAGGATGTTTTTAAGTTTCCATTTGAAAATTTGAACCCATACAGCTCCAACCAGAATCACAAATAACTGTCTAATCTTGATTTTATTACCCAATTGAAATTAAAACATGGTTTTCTCACTAAAACCATTGTTGTGTATAATTTACTTCTTTGAAGAAGTGAGATCAGAATTCTTCATTTCCAGATTTCCCCTCATATGTTTACCACTTCACAAGTTTCCAAGGCTTTGATATGAATCCGGTTTGACACAAGAGAGAGGTGCAGTGCGCCTGCTCCGACGCCCTGATGAACAGCAAGCAGAGGTGGGATCTGAACCCAGGTCATTGGTCTCCCAGCATTTGGATGCATGTTTGATTAAAAGACAAACTGCCCTGGGTCCTGGCCCAGCACAATCCAACCAAGCTAACAGGCCTGCCAAAATAATCAAACTAATTGAGTTGAATTTAAAAATATCCACACTTTCAATAATAGCCTCACAGAACCAAAGTGTACAATATCCGTTAACCTATAATTACTGGTCTTAACGGCATGTCCTCTTGTGTTGTGTTTCTTTATTTAGGAATTTGTCTGTCTCTGTCTGAATTCTTCTTTGAAACCTTTGGTTCTAAACGGACAGTAGTCTCTGAAAACACCTTGCATCTGTCTTAGATTTTCTGACTCTGCGTGAGGGTTCTACTTTGTATTATGTTTGTTTGTTTGTTTGTTTCTTTAAAGCTTTTCAGCTCTGATTTTCTCCTAATCTGAGAATGAAATGATAAAAACACAAGTAAAATTTAATTTGATTTCTCCATATGCCCATCAGCATTGCAATCAGGAATCTCTAAGCCCCTTAGTAATAGGAACTAATCAATAGAGAAAAGCACACAAGTATAGAGATGCATTTACAACGCTACTACAGCAAAGGATCAATCATGCCATTTTTATTAATGAACAAAAGCACATTAATATGCAAGTCTTTGATACTTATTTTTATCAGGAAATTTCCACCAACACAGAAACTTTTAGAAAAGTCAGTATAAAGCAGTTTTCACATTTTAAACTCTCACATGCTTCCAGCTCTCTCCTACAATTATCTGTGCAGCAACGCTCCCATCAAGTTTTGCATTGCTCATAGTTTTTTGTGCGTGTGCATTCAGGACACCCTTCCAAATAGCTACTCACGTACTTGAAAATGTGACACTGACAGAAAGAAAAGTCTGTGCCTTTTCATTTTATCTTACTATCAGTGTGGTCCCTGGGGGAAAGGCAGGCAGTTTACATGCTTTTCTGAGGGCTGGTAAACACGTGAGACTTGCTTACAAGGCTAATTAAAATGGATGCATGTCATCTTTACATGTTTCTACTGGATCAAAATAAAATACCGGTTTTTATCATTGATGCCGTGCTCCTCATCTAATCTGTACACAAGTTATTGCTTCTTTGTGTGTTCCCTTTGGCTAGGCACACAGCACCCTTCTCAGTAAACTGTCTCCTTTTTTCAGCATGACTGTCTCATTATTTCTGCCTGTGAATGGACTCTTAGCTCTGTGTATTGTGGTTGTTTATAGCGCCCATTAAATAACTACAGGAAAAGATGACACAGTCAGAAATGAGGTAAAGACAGAGGAGACAGCATTAACTGTCCTCAGTTAGTAATAATATTATGTGCCCAGGCTGCGGCTGGAGTGCGCAGCAAACAGTGTGGTGGGATTTACAGAAATAAGGATATAGTAAAGCAAGGCAATGTTTCCGAATATGTAACTGTAAGTAGGCTGCCTGCGTGCATATGTGAGAACTGTGTTATTCTGAAATTGCTTATCTGACTGGCAGGGAAATCTCAAAAAGTCTTTCTCAGGGATGAAGTAAAAGGAACAGTAATGATTCTTAACATCTCAGAGATATGATTATAAGAGATTGTTCTTTGGAGTATTACTAAACTCTGCATATGTTCACAATATAAGATTATCAGTAATTTTCCTTTGAAAAGGCCCCGCATGGTCTCCTTAGAGAACCATTATGAAAAGAAAGCCAAGAAGAGAAGGAAGAAGCACAAAAGATTCCTCAGGGTAAGGACAAGAACGAGATGGAAATCAGGGCTGTGAGAATCTGGTTTCAATGTATAGGAAATAACCTTGAAAGCAGACAAACCCCCACACCAATTCATTAGCATGAAAGCGAATTGTGCACCCCTCTCTTCGATTCCCCTTCCATTCTCCACGGTCAAGCCTGAGGATATTCTGAAGACTTGGGGGTTTGACAGACTGGAGGAGATGTGAGAAGGACAGGGGATGGTGAGGGCTTTAAGGCCACTCTCCTCTAGGATTGAGGGGGAAATGTCTTGGTGTCATCAAATACACTCCTTACTCCTGCCTTAGGTTAATAAGCTGCAACTTTATCCGCAACACGCTGGGAGGGCGAAGGAAGGGCGTAGGGAAAGAAGGTCTTGAGGAGAACTACAATCTGGGGGCGAAAACCGCACCCCCTCTTGAACTACAGTGACTCTTTCACGGAGAGCCTTCCTTTAATTGAATCACAACCACCTGGACTATCCTAAGAGGAAAAAGAAAGGAGAAGAAGGAAGGGAATTGGCCCAAAGTACTCTCTAGTAAATCTGGGCAACACCGTGAAGAAGAAAAAGAATCAAAAATAGGGACTGGGACGCTAAGGGCTTGCTTTTGTTAACACGCTTGCACAAGTCTAGCTCAGCCCCATAGTCTATGGAAATTCCTTGTTTACCATCCTCCTAGGCGGTCCCTAAATCTCTGCCTGCTAACTCCAATGATTGGGCGCTTACTAGTTAGGGGAGGCAGCCGTCCCGGAGGGTGTCCAGCTCGGAGGGCTGGTTGCTCTCGCACTTGTCCAGAACTTCCACCCAGTGGTCTTAAGTCTCCCCTCGGCTTTGGTACCGAGCGAGTGCCATCCTGATTTCCCTTGACCGAGTCCGAGCTGCAGCCCACGGTAGAAGCTGCAAGGGCTGGGCAGAGTTCCAGGCGCGAGGGGCCGAGAGAGGCGTGAACAGCGCTCCACGGCATTTGTCAGAGAAATGGAGCAGCGGCTCCTCTGTGGGCTGGTACATCCCCCTCCCGGGTGCACAGCGGGGACATTTGATCTGCGGGGTGATTGATAAGTGCAGGAGAGGGGCCGTCGTCCCTCCCTCCCTCCCTCCTCCTCCTCCTGTTCCCTCCCGCTTTGCTTCCCTCCTCCTCCACCGCTCCCTCCCTCCTTCCTGCTGGAAGCGCTGCCCGGCGGCGAGCCGCTCCAGTGGGGATCTGCCTGCCCGGGGGCGCCGCCAGTGCTCGCCGCCGTGCCCTCGCTCGCCGGCCGCGCGGGTCCAAGTCTGTGTAGGCTCCCGCGCCTGCCCCGGTCGCCGATGCTGCGGGTGCCTCCAGGGGAAGCTCCGGGCGGCGCGCTCGCTGGGTAAGTTCTAAGCACTCGGGGACGCCGCGGCGGCTCGGCGGGCCAGCGGGCCCCCTGCCCCCTTCTCGGCCATCTCCCCTCGCGGAGGGAACAGCGTGGAAGGACCGGGAGCCAGCAGCCCAGGACTGCGTGCTGGGGCCGCCCTCGCCTCCCACCCCCGCAAGGGCTGTGTGGCTCCGGGACCTTCCGTGCGGGTGTGGTCGGGCTCCGGGCGTCGCACAACCCCGCGGTCACTGCCGCCCGGAGCGGCTCACAAGCCGAGCCGCCCCCGGGACGAGGGCAGCGCGTGTGGCCGTCTCGGCTGCGGGCCCCACACCAGGCACCAGGCGTCTAGCAGGATGGGGTGGGGGGGGAGAAGGCGTCCGCTGGCAAGCAGTTGAATCCCCCCCCACACACACACAGAGACTACTGCTGCTTGGGGACTCCTGTTAACCCCCTGGTGGGCTGGCGGGTGGCCGAGCAGAGGTGGGCTGCGCGCCCGCCTCACTCACCGCGCCCTGGCCAGCATGGGCGACTGGAGCCAGACTCCACTCTGTTAGATGCGAGTGAGACTGAGGCCACCGAGTCCCCGTTTCTGCGTCCCTCGCCCCGGCTAGAAGAGGGAGCGTTTGCCTTATTTTAGCGTCCGCCTCTGCCTCCCTTGGGCTCCCAGCTCACCTTCCCACCGCCTTCAAGCCCCGCTCTCCTCAGCCGGGTGTTGTGGCCGTCCCTCCCCAAGACGCGGGGCCAAGTGAAACTTGCTTAAAGTGATTTATCGGGATTGAGGCTGATTTGGTCTCAATAACGATGTTTCAGAACGCGGCTAGGGAAGCCCAGGGACGGAATGGAGACTAAGGACGGGTGGGAAAGTCCATGGGAGGAATATTTACCACAACACCTCGGGGGTCCCCCGTGCTGTTACTCCTTGTTTTCCCAATTTCCTCTCTCTCTCTCTCTCTCTCTCTCTCTCTCTCTCTCTCTCTCTCTCTCTGAAATTCCTAAGAAAACGGTGTCTGTCCTCAAGAAGCATTGACAGCGTCGTCAGTGCCTTGAAAGAAATTACTATATTTGAGAACTAAAACTAATATTTGATATTTCACTTTCAAATACAACTTTTTAAAAAGAACATATTTAGGTAATATGCGACCACTCCTATTTAAGTTTAGGTAGATAGTTCTTCTCTAATTCACCCCAAGCAGTCGTGAGTTTTTTTGGAAACCTGCCGGACCGGGACACAGAATTCCTGGGTTCTGTTTCTAATTTTATAGATTCTTGAACTTAAGCAAGTCAGCACTTCCCCTGGTTGAGGAATGTCCTGTCTGTAAAATGAATCTCATTTCAAAGGTCTCATCCAGCTCTCCTGTTGGCTTCTATTTCAATGAAATATTAACCTAATTAATAAATGTTTGTTAAATGGATGACTGAATGAGCACACCATATCTCTCTAGGAACTATGTATATTTAATATTTGGAAATATGTAGAAATAAATGCCTCTTGGCTATGAAAGGAAGCTTAATCATGGTCGCACTGCATCACTCTGCTTGCATCTAATGATGCAATTGCAATAGAGGGAGGCCCCCTCCCCCTCTGAGGACAACTCATCTCATTGTCACCCTTTGGCACAGAGAAGGACAATTTGAGACCTCAGAAGGAAAGGAGCTTGCCCAAGACCAAGCAAGAATTACAGGATGGGAAAGGGGCTCACGATGTCTGGTTGAGGGTTCTTCCCAGAAGGAAAAGTAGGGGAAAAAGAGAAAGCCTGTGAAAAATTCTGGGGGAGACTGCCAGAGCCACAGGTTGCCCTACTGCCTAAGTTTATAAACTGTCCCAAGCCCTTCTTGGGGAAGAGCTTATACGGACAAACAATCCCAGGACCTGCGTTTAAGAGGGAAGGAAGAGGGGGAGAAGCAGAGGGCTTTTCCTTCTCAGAAGGCTCATTTTGCCTTTGTGATCCTCTCTAGTCCACATTTGGCACAGCAGCGGGCCCCTGTGTTAACTCTATCTGCAGCGGGCTCGGACTGAAGAGGTGGGGAAAGCAAGCTGAAGTGTTTCGCAGGACAGGCACACGTCCTGGTCCATTCTTTTCCCACTCTTTCATTCCCTCCTTTTCCTGACTCATCTCTCTGAGAAGTAGCCCCTGGCACTTCCGGGCAACAGCAGACATTCACATCTTGCAAATGGACTGCACACTGGGAGATTCCTGGGTTCAGAGGACCTTAAGATAACGAAGGAGTAATGGGATAATGAAGGCAAAAACCCAACACCTAGCCATTAATAATGCTGTGGAAAGGTTAACTGAATCTGACTGAATGTCATATAGTCTACCCTGTTTTTACCAATGGAGACAAGATCCAGAAACAAGTGACATACCTGGCAACAGAGCTAGATCAGAACCCAGATCTACTGGGTTTCAGTCCGGACTGGGTTCATCTCCCCTCTTTCTCAGGAGCCAGTCTTTCTGCCTTGCTGCCTTCTGTGTTCCGAGCTCCCTGGCCCCTGCCTGCAGCCTGGAGGGCTTAGGCACCTTCCTTGGGCTCCCACTCCCAGCTGAGGCTCAGCTTAGCAGTGCCTTTCTGACACCCACTCCTCTGCTCCTTCTTTCAGGCAAAAAGCACACGTTTAAACCTCATTATCTGGCTAAGTATAAACCTCAGGGGGAGAAGGGTTGTGTTGTTTATTTCAGTCCACAAGCTAACATTGAGGTGACTTTCAGAATCCAGGCATATATCTATCTGGTCAGTCACCACTGGGAAAGTAATTCTCTGAGTCCTGAAACAAAGCTCTGTATGTAAAGCGTACATCCCCTAGGAGAACTCCTCACCCTCCTACACAGACACACTGGTGCGCACCCCCCCCACACACATACACACTCCCCAAGAGCATCTGAGCTAGGAGGTTGGCAGGCGGCCCCAATCCTGTAGCAAAGAGGCACACACACACACACACACACACACACACACACACACACGAAGATCTGGACGGACTCCTGCTTGGGAATCTGGAATGAGATCCCCCGCCGCCTCGGAATGGCCAAAGAGGGAGGGGCAGGTGGAAAAAAAACACTAAAAGGGTGCCAGTCCCTTAGCGGGGGCCCTCCTGGAGAACCCCTCTCAAGGAGCCTCGCCAGCCGCTCTCTGCCCGCGGGTTGGAGGTGGAGTAGTTCAGAATCAACTGACACAGCCGGGATTTGAGCTTTGCAAAGCCACTAGCTGGGAAGGGAAGCATCTGCCCCTCCCTCGCCCAGCGCGCGCCCTGGATCCGCTGCCTACCCCCACCCCCGTGACGTCACCCTAACCCTGTCCCGGGGAGCCTGCAAAGCCTCTCAAATTCAAACTGGTAAGCGCACTGCTGCCGCTGCCACCGGATTGGAAGCGTGCACCCAGGCTCAGCCGTCGCCGCCGCCCGCAAACCAGGCCGGCCGGCTCCCCGACCTCCCTAAGCAATCGCACCCCAGGTCCGGGTCGGCTCAGCTTCCCGCCGCTCCAACCCTCGGGTTCCTCTCCTGCCGCCTGCCGGATTTCTAATTTCGGCGCACCCCCCTGGCCAAATTAAATCAACCAACAAAAAGCAGGGCATCCCCCCCGGAAGCGGCGTCTTCTTTTACCTTCCTCTCCCTCTCTTTCTGAAGATGCTAAAGTACTGGCGGACTGCAGAGGAGAGGGGTCGCGACTTCTCCTAATGTGTAAGTAACCCCCACGCCGCGCTATCTTTGCTCTTCCATCCTCCCCCTCCCCTGCCGCCAGTCCCCTGATTTTCCCACCCCGTTTTTGCGCAGTTAAAAAAAAAAGTAATGCAATTTCTGCTGCGAGCCCAGGACGGGCGAGCCGCCCGAGATCTCTTCAAGGTACCCCGGGGAAGGAGGAGATGGGCTGCATTTAGTAGGACAACTCGGTTACTAATGACTCCGCGGCTGGCTGCGACCCGCCGGGAAATCAGGTGCAGGCATGTGTGTTCCGGGACCGGTGTGTGGGTGAGCTGGGGGCGCGGGGGAGGGAAGAGAAGAACCGCTTTGAAAAACGCAGTGATTTCATTCTGCCGTGTGGCCCACTCCCCGCATTCTCCCTCCCTCCCACTCCGCCCCCTTGCTTTGCCATTTTAATCGGGCTTCCTTGTTTCTTTCTCCCCGCACCCTGCTCTCTCCTGCTCCCCCCACCCCCCAAGGTTTGCCTGTAGGTACCTGAGCTGACACCGACGGTGCCTAAAGATGCTGAGCGGCGTTTGGTTCCTCAGTGTGTTAACCGTGGCCGGGTTCTTACAGACGGAGAGTCGCAAAACTGCCAAAGACATTTGCAAGATCCGCTGCCTGTGCGAAGAGAAGGAAAACGTTCTGAATATTAACTGCGAAAACAAAGGATTTACAACTGTCAGCCTGCTCCAGCCCCCTCAGTATCGAATCTACCAGCTTTTCCTCAATGGCAACCTCCTGACGAGACTGTACCCCAACGAGTTCGTCAATTACTCCAACGCGGTGACTCTCCACCTAGGTAACAACGGGCTGCAGGAGATCCGAACCGGGGCGTTCAGCGGCCTGAAAACCCTCAAGAGACTGCACCTCAATAACAATAAACTCGAGGTGCTGAGAGAGGACACCTTCCTGGGCCTCGAGAGCCTGGAGTACCTCCAGGCTGACTACAATTACATCAGTGCCATCGAGGCAGGGGCGTTCAGCAAACTGAATAAGCTCAAAGTGCTCATCCTGAACGACAACCTTCTGCTGTCACTGCCCAGCAATGTGTTCCGGTTCGTCCTGCTGACCCACTTAGACCTCAGAGGAAACAGGCTGAAAGTGATGCCTTTCGCTGGCGTCCTTGAACACATCGGAGGGATCATGGAAATTCAGCTGGAGGAAAACCCATGGAACTGCACTTGTGACTTACTGCCTCTCAAGGCTTGGCTGGACACCATAACTGTTTTTGTGGGGGAGATTGTCTGTGAAACTCCCTTTCGATTGCACGGGAAAGATGTGACCCAGCTGACCAGGCAAGACCTCTGTCCCAGAAAAAGTGCTGGCGACGCCAGTCAGAGGGGCAGCCATGCTGACACACACGTCCAAAGGCTGTCACCTACAATGAACCCTGCTCTCAACCCCACCCGGGCTCCAAAAGCCAGCCGGCCACCCAAAATGAGAAACCGTCCAACTCCCCGGGTCACTGTGTCCAAGGACAGGCAGAGCTTCGGCCCCATCATGGTCTACCAGACCAAGTCCCCTGTGCCCCTCACCTGCCCCAGTAGCTGTGTCTGCACCTCTCAGAGCTCAGACAATGGTCTAAACGTAAACTGCCAAGAAAGGAAGTTCACTAATATCTCCGACCTGCAGCCCAAACCTACCAATCCAAAGAAACTCTACCTGACAGGGAACTATCTGCAAACTGTCTATAAGAACGACCTCTTAGATTACAGTTCTTTGGATTTGTTGCATTTAGGAAACAACAGGATTGCAGTCATTCAGGAAGGTGCCTTCACAAACCTGACCAGTTTACGCAGACTTTATCTGAATGGCAATTACCTTGAAGTGCTATATCCTTCTATGTTTGATGGACTGCACAGCTTGCAGTATCTCTATTTAGAGTATAATGTCATTAAGGAAATTAAGCCGCTGACCTTCGATGCTTTGATTAACCTACAGCTACTGTTTCTGAATAACAACCTGCTGAGGTCCTTACCTGATAACATATTTGGGGGCACGGCCCTCACCAGGCTGAATCTGAGAAACAACCATTTTTCTCACCTGCCTGTGAAAGGGGTGCTGGATCAGCTCCCAGCTTTTATCCAGATAGATCTGCAAGAGAACCCGTGGGACTGCACCTGTGACATCATGGGGCTGAAGGACTGGACGGAACACGCCAACTCCCCTGTCATCATCAATGAGGTGACCTGTGAGTCTCCGGCGAAGCACGCAGGGGAGATACTGAAGTTTCTGGGAAGGGAGGCTATCTGTCCAGAGAGTCCGAACTTGTCAGACGGAACCATTTTGTCAATGAATCATAACACAGACACACCTCGGTCACTTAGCGTGTCTCCCAGTTCCTATCCTGAACTCCACACTGAAGTTCCACTTTCCGTCTTAATTTTAGGATTGCTCATTGTCTTCATTTTATCTGTCTGTTTTGGGGCTGGTTTATTCGTCTTTGTCCTGAAACGCCGAAAGGGGGTGCCAAGTGTTCCGAGGACTGCCAACAACTTAGATGTCAGTTCCTTCCAGTTACAGTATGGGTCTTACAACAGCGAGACTCAGGATAAAACTGACGGCCACGTCTATAACTATATCCCCCCACCTGTGGGGCAGATGTGCCAAAACCCCATCTACATGCAGAAGGAAGGAGACCCAGTAGCCTATTACCGAAACCTGCAAGAATTCAGCTACGGAAACCTGGAGGAGAAAAAAGAAGAACCAGCCACTCTTGCTTACACTATAAGTGCCACTGAGTTACTAGAAAAGCAAGCCACACCAAGAGAGCCTGAGCTGCTGTATCAGAATATTGCCGAGCGGGTCAAGGAACTCCCCAGCGCAGGACTAGTCCACTATAACTTTTGTACCTTACCTAAAAGGCAGTTCGCCCCTTCATATGAATCTCGACGCCAAAACCAAGACAGAATCAATAAGACCGTTTTATATGGAACTCCCAGGAAATGCTTTGTGGGGCAGTCAAAACCCGATCACCCTTTACTGCAAGCTAAGCCGCAATCAGAACCAGACTACCTCGAAGTTCTGGAAAAACAAACTGCAATCAGTCAGCTGTGAAGGGAAATCATTTACAACCCCATGGCATCAAAGGATGCTGCTCCAAACTGTTGGAAGCACGGCATTTATTTTTTTGTGTTTGTTTATGTTCTCCCTTTTCCCAGTGTCAATGGGGGACTTTGAAAATGTTTGGGGGATGGGGTGAAGCAATGATACTGCTTTTTCAAGCTTTCCTTTAAATTATTTCTCTCTTGCCCCCCCACCCCCTTTTTTCCTTTTCTCCTTAGGAGTCATCATTGATCATGAATGTTTCTACGATGCATTTTTTTCATATATTTTGTTTATGGTTTTGTTTCTTTTTTTCTTTTATTTTTTCCAGTGGGGGATGGGGGATGGGAAGAGGAGATTGTAGTGAATGAAGAAAGAGTAAGCAGACTTTTCAAGTGAAAATGGCTATTTAGTGTATTTTGTAGAAGATCTCCAAAGATCTTTTGAGACTATAAATTCTTTTGTAAATAATGATATATGGTATTTCCATCTTCACATCTACCGAGTGTAGCCAGTAGGCATCACTTCTTTGTGTTAAAGTGCCTTTGCACTTTACGTACATTACTTAAATGTTGCTTTTAGCTTTGATAAATTGAACATATTTTAATGCGCTGTATTTTTAAAATTAAAAACACCGTAAAATAGATCTAAATGTCAGCTATATTAAGTCAACGTACAGTTTGCTTGAGTTATTGAAACCAGCCTGTCATCAAATGATTCTAGTTCTAGGACTTCAGAGATTTAACTGTAAAATATTTCCTTTCCTCTGGATTTGTTCTAAGTGATTTTATTTAAGTCAACTAAGGGGATTTAACAGTGGACTAGAAGTAATAAACCACCTCAGTTGGGATTAGTAATTCATTAATAAAATATATTTAACCCAATATCAGAGTGAATTGAACAATTAATGCCCTTCCGTAAATCATTATTTTGCACTAACATGGTCAGTGTTTTAGATTATTTTCCTAATTAAGAGTACATTACACAACTTGTAATATATTTTTTCTGCATTAAATTAGATATTTTTATATATTTAAATGACAGAGTCTGTATTTCTAACTTTTTAATTGAAATTAATATTTTTTCTGCCTATTGAAACATTTTCTATAAACACACACCAGTAGAGGCCGCCACACACCTCATTTAATAAAGACATATGAGCCATTAAATACCTTGAAGGAAGACTTCAAAGGTGAGATTAAAACTTCCCAAGTAAGCTCTCTGGAAATTCAAGGCAGCAGAGACAAACGCATACATTACTTTCTTTTAGGATTAAAGTTTAGACTCAGAATCCTTCTCAATTTTCACATGTTCAGAGAAAGCAGGTTTTCCTCTCGAGTCTATTGAAGTGTAAACAGGGTGCTATCAACTCATATACTATTTGCATCTCCAAATTGATTAAGAATTACCTAAACCAAGAAAGTAAGCATCTTTTTTGCTTCTGCCTTCTTTAGGCATGTGCTACATGATTTTTTTCCTTGTGGTGTGAGCGAGCCTTTTGTTTTGGTCTTAGCATTAAAATGATTTTAACTAACCAAGTCTATATAACGTTTATGAAGCCTTATTAGCCTGTAAGTAATTTTTAGATGCAAGCATTATTGTGTGATTTAAACAAACAGCCCTTCTTTACAACAAAAAATAGTTTTGTTTTGTCTATTGTAAATCCTTATGCAACTGGGATGGTGATCTGCATATAAAGTAGTCCAGCTTTTCAAATCCTTATTAAAGCAATTGATGGCGTCTGAAAGAAGCACACTGTTTCCTTTTCATAAATAGGTTACTGAACATAATAACCCTTTATTATCGTGTGGAGATTGAAGTGGATCCTCATAACTTACTTTTAAAGCTTTAAAATGACGAATAGTATATTGTGTCACTATAAACAATTCATGTGATAGGCTTTCAATTAGAAATTATTTAAAACCAAATTATTTGCATGAATAATGACGGTGCAAAACAAGTTTTTTTAAACAATAGAAGGTAATCATGTCTATATAAATGGAACGGGAGGACATTCAGGGAAAAAAATGCCTCTGACAACCTGGAATCTCTGAATATCTACAGTGACAAGCTCACGTGTTCATTCTTTGATTAGAGATCATAATTCCTATTTAAATCCATTAGATCACAATTGAAATTCATGGCCTGAAATGATCTACGAGAAAGTTAACGTACAGAGACTTTTACATTTCACAGAAAAAGAGCTAGAGTATTATGCTAGTTGAACTTGGATATAGTTCCTGGAAACCACTCCTCTTTGAGTGAAATCTTTATATATGAGTTTCAAAAATCCTCTTGTGGCTGCCCTCATTTGTGCAATGACAAATACAGAATACAAAGGTAGGTATTTTGGGAAGCGATTATGAAGGGAAACTAGCATACCTATTCTATTAAGATAGTTTTTAGGTTTAAACTAGATGACTAGAACTATTGATGTAGCGATTCTACTTCAGCGTTTGTTCTTATTCTCCAGAAAGTCAAGTCATTCCTGTAAAATGCCATTATCTGCAGAAAAACTAATTCATTAATTTTAAATAGAGATAGCTTAATATTCATTTAGTTACATGATTCTAAAGAGGCCTCCTGGAAGAATTCAGATTCATAAACTCTCAATAATTACGGCTTAATTCTAGATTCTCATGCTTTTTAGATCTGTACTTTATTTGTATTAGGTTTGAAGATGAAATCGTTTGATTTTGCTTCAGACTATTTCATTTAAAGGCATAATACACCATATACTTCGAAGCCTTATTTTCAAATGCAATCATAAACACTTTATGTTTATTAACTTAACATCCCCACTGACTACATATTGTTTTGCTTTCTCCACTTGAGTGCTTTCCAACATATTTTAAGATTTTTATTTTCATCTCCTACAGCTGGATTTTGCTATTTCACTTTGATTTCACATGCAGCTTGTAATGGGTATGAGCGTCAGCACAGCGAAATAGTTCCAGCCAACAATGGGCCCTGCCTGGAACAGATCTATGTGTCTGGCCTTACAAATGGCCAAATGGTAATTCCCTTTGAGTCTAGCTCTTAATTAGTTGCTTTCACTGCTTCTGAATATACCTGTGGCTAAGTCTGTATGGCAACACTCGAAAGTACCATTTCTCAGTCCGGACACAATTGCCAAGAGTCTGATTTGGTTCTGGGCTCTGGTTAACCTGTGTGCCTTGTTGGTTTACTCCAGCAGTTGGTGACTAAGGATATGACCCTTCTGTTTCCTCTGCTTTGTCCTCTGACCTCTAAGGTGATTTAATTTTTCTAAGTACTTCCATGTCATCAAGGGCTCGATATTTTATGGATTTTACAAACAGCCTATAAGGAGCAAGAGAGAGGTTCTGTGATTTTTCTGACTCTGGGAATTCATTTTGATTGTACACATTTGGGAAACACACTGGGTTGGATGCTAGAGTGAAGAAATCCTTCCAGACAGTTCTCCCAACCCAGCCATTTCTTCAATCATTCAAGAAATAGTTACTGAGTGCTTGCTTCCTAGGTGCCAGGCTCTATGTTGTGTACAGAGGTACAGTAGTCAGATCTCAGCCCCACCCCCTCAACCACAGCGGGGAGTTTAGTGCTAAAAAAGGATATGAATGACAATCACCCAGAGTAAACAGTGGGAACAGTGATGCAGTGTAGGAAGTTGCGTTTTTTAAAAAGGTGATTCTGTGCAATGAAGTATAAAACTGATATATCTTCAATAGACTAGTTACAGTGTAACCACCATTAACATCTCTTTAGAGTTACACAGTTAAAAAGGAAAAAAAACCACTAAAATAAAATAAAACTAATTTCTGTAGAACAAGGCCCAATAGTATGGCCTGAAGATAGCTATATATGTGCGCTATCTAAAGATCTACAATTTAAACATGAGTCCCAAAAATGTAAATACAAAATCACAAATGTACTTTACTTTTCTGGAATATCCATGTTTTAGAGGCAATATTTACTTTATATTTCAGTGGCTTAAAAGATAACATTTTGGCTTAAGTGTCTTTTACCAATACAACGATAAGGCACTTATTTAAATCCTGAGAGCGAAAATTAAGTACTGTATATAGGTATACATTGCTTCTCACAATGGTTGTGCAAAAAGTCATGTGTAAATTGTAGTTTTGTAAATCAAATTGTATTTTAAATGCATTAGGGGAGCTGCCATTTAGAGGAATCTTGTGAATCCTTTTATAAAGCAGAACATCATTTTATAATACAAATAATCACTCTCTAATTTATCTGTTTTGTATATTTGGATTTTCAATATTGACTTTGCTTAAAATGGAGCCCACCTGCATAGTAAGAGTGTGTTTTGCCAATGCTGCTTGTGCTACCAGTTTCTTGGTTGCTAAGGGCTTATACTTGAAAATCTGCTGCAGTTTTGTGTGACTTGAGCTATCAAGCGATTCCATGACGGCGCAGTAGCATTCCTGACCAGTCCAAGTAGGCAACCCATTTCAACTTAATTGACCGCAGGACTCTTCTGCCCAACAGCGTCTCCTCTCAGATGTGGCCATGTTTCATTAGAGGGTAGAGTGACTTCTGGCTATAAAGTGCTCAGAGTCACGGGTTTTATAATAAATATGTTATTATGTAAACATATTGAATTGCATGTGTGCTGGAATTTTTTAGCAGTATTTTAGCTTGAAAGTACTTGTACAAATACTGTTAGATTTAGTTGCAAATAATTGTTCTCAAGTTATTGGAATAAATGGCAAATGAAACAAGCTCTCGTGTAAATAGACTTCTGTGCCAAACAGTGACATTGTTTCAAAAAATGAATGTCATATTTTGGGTTGTTCATAGGCAAAATGAAATATTGGAAATGTGATCAAATGATATTGTGTTTTACTGGATAAACTGTTTACACAGTTATTTTATGCTGTAGTTAGCGTTCAGTTAATAAATAAATATTCACTAAAAATGAACACTTGAATTAGAAAAATTCTTCAGATTCTTAAGAGGAACTAATTGCAAAGTAATACTGGAACTGTCCTCTTTGACTTGATATATACTGTTCAAATGTTTACAGATTAAGGTTTCTCTTCTTTATATGATCATACTTTGCATATGAAGAGTCAGTGAGCTCTTTAAAAACATATGAATACTTTTCCATGAATGCCCATTAGTATCAGACTTTTAAAAACCAACAAAAACAATTCAAGTAGATGTTTCTCTAGGAATTAAAAGTTTGCTGATTTCCCAAGCCCCCCCCCCATCCACACCACAGCCAACTATTTTTCATTATGAAGTTCTAATACCATAACAGATTTAATAAATTTATATTTTATAAAATTGGAGACAGATTTACATGCAAATCCAAGGAATAGCAAGTATAAATTTGTTAATGGAAATGCTATTCACTATATTCCCAAGACTAGAGTTGAATGAGACTGGCAGGGTGTATGTTTGTTGCTGTTACTGTGGTTATATGATGACAAAGTGACTTCTTTGGCTGTTTGCATTTGGTTGAACATCAGAATATATCTGCCAGGTATGCTCCATTTGCAAATGTCTAACATAACAAAGGATTTGAGATTCCTGTGGTGGACATGAGGATTTAAAACAGAGCATCCTCTCTTGAGCTGATTCATTTGCGATATGCACTGTAGATTCAGTGTATTCGTGTAGCCTTCCCAGGGAGCTGAAACAATTGGAAGAGCCTCATTTTAAAGCGTTTTGTTGGAGAATGAGAGTTGGTGCTTAGTACAGTAGATTATCTGATCCTTTCAAAAGATGAGTTGAAATGGAGTGGGAATGAAAGTACTGTACAGCTCCCCATTCTGAACACATTTCATATATAAAACATCAGCAAGTAGTGTGTGTCTGCTGATACTGGCAAAAGACCATCCAATGGGGTCTGGAAACGCACCTGATCCGTTTCCCTGGGCAACTGCTTTGTCATTAGTTAAGCATCATTTTTATTCATTGGATTTTCAGATATTATTTTGTTTGCCATCAACATTACCCTAAAAGGAGCATTTGAGCTAATTATCTGTCAGCTCCAGTTCCCCGCATTTGGGGACATATTTGATCGTGACAGACTGTTGGCGACAGCATGAACGTAAGGTAGTTTCTGGCTCACAACGTGACTGTTGGGAAGACAGGGTAGGTGAAGGGTGTCTCTCTGGGTAATCCCTGGCTGAGGCCCTCACTTCCCCAGCCCCTTTCACCTTCACATTGTTAACACCTCACAGAGTGTTTTGAAACATAATAACTCTCCCATCAATATTTCCTTAGTGAATAAATGAATAAGAGCCTGGCTTTCACTTGAACATGAAAGAGTTGAAAGCTGGAGGATCTGAGTTCAAAGCATAATTACAATAGATTCGTAGCTTTCTAGGAAGTCTGAAACAAATCTTTAGTTGGACCATTTTCAGAACTTATGAGAAACATACACGGGCGCGTGCGAGCGCACACACAGACACACCCCATGAGGCTTGCTCAGAAGTTCCGGGAACATGCGGCCAAGATCCAAAGCTTATTACATGCACACAGGCCTAATTTTAAGCGCCACTTGAGTCTCTCTATTGAACCCAATGATCTCACTGGAGAGTTAAAAGTAGCTTTACTGCTGAGCTGTGAGATTGCCTTGGCATTGGCTTTTGGAATGGGGAGATTCTGAGTTGAGAGGAAATGCACTCCCTGACGAGCTTGAATGAGGAATTCTTCCAGACCTTCTCATTTAGTTCTCCCTATGGTTCTGTGTATTTCACTGGTTTGTTTAAGTCTTCCAGGTAGGAGAGAATTTCCTTGGGCTCCAAGCTATATTAAGTCATGTTTCTGTCAGAACATGATTGTTCTCATCGCCTGATTTATACAAAATAAGAACCTACGGGTGTTGTTTTGCAATGAAGACTCCTAGGACGTGGGGTTCTGATCTTTGTGCACCTAAAAAGCTGTGAGGACAAGTTATAGCTCTCCTTGGGTCCAAGTTTTCCCACCTGGGAATGGTATTGGACTGGATGAAGCCAATGGATATGTACAACTTCAGTGCTCTCTCTGATTCTAGGCTATTTTGAGAGTGGTTGCTACACACAAAACAGGGCATTGAGACAATTGTTCAGGTGACGCAAGTCTGAAAATCTCTGACCCTACTTCTCCCTTCAGTTGTCTAATTTGAGCACAGCCTTACTCTGATTTTATTTTTACAGGATTCAAAAGTACCATTTGTCTAGGGTTCGTTTCTCTTTCTAAACTTGTCTTTAAAAAAATGTTTAAACCACTTTCCTTACATCTCTGTAAATCACAGCATCCTACTGAATCTTCTGGTGGTTGGGGGTGGATGGGGGAGTTGATGGGTTTTTCATTAAGCTGTTTTGCAGAGGAGTTGTCTATTGGGTTGATGAGTTTAATTATTCTGTGTGATAATTAAGAAAGTTGAACTATGAATCTAAAAATACCACATTATCCCATTTCAGGGGATGGAGCAGTTTGCCCATTTTAGTTGTTCATCATCCCACCCTTTCAGCCAACACGGCCAAGTGTCTTATCATCAGGGAAACTGATGGACCCTTGGACAATTCAGTTGAGCTTCAGAAAATCAATGATTCATTCCCGTGAACAAAGCTCTCAGCTGACAAGTGGTGTTGGGCCCCTTCCTGATCATAAATTTCAGCCATTGTTTTATTGCTGGGCCAGTGTGTCTCTATCTGGTCAAATAGACTTGAACTGGAAAGCAAAGAAATCAAGTTTTCAATATTGTAATATTCAGCTGACATGATCTTTTCAAGAGTGAAAAAGAGGAAAAAACATCCCATTCAAAATCTTCTTCTGCTTTCCAGAGATTTCTGAGGGGCTTATTAATAGCATTAGTGAATGGAAGGAACTTCCAGCTACACTTTGCTATGTGGTTTCTTCTGCATGTTACAGCACATTGTGAAAAAGCAAATGTAGGTTATCTTTGTCCAAGCCATCATCTTAAAAAATAAATAAATACAATCTCATTGAGATGCTGAAGACTTAGGGTATGATTACATTTCAAAGGTTTAACTTGAAATTTGGCAACAAAATATATTTATTTACTAAATTGATCTCTGCAAAGCAAGTACTTTGGGTAATCTCAGAGAGGGGTTTGTGGAAGGAATCTCATTACTTTTAGATTTTTTGAGTGCAGATTCATCAGAAAGTTGCTTACATCTACTGTGCAAATAGCTCAAATGTTCTGACATTCTAAAAATATGTGAATTTTCTGCTCTTAGAGATTAAAATGGGGAGGCTCTGCCTGTGTTGATGCACTTGGTTGTTTTTCAGTTGGACTTTCTGAGCTTTTCTCTAGAACAAAATCAAATATCCAAGGATAGATATTTGTACAAAGATAAAGTCTTAGGAACAGAGGGATAAATATATACTTTCTCAAATGGAAATAGGTAGTTTCACAAAATCTTCTTCCTTGCCTCTCCAAGAGAAATCTTCCCCAAATTTTGATCCCTGACTAGCAAACAAATATTTCCCATGTGACTAAGAGTTTGAATTTGACTGGGCTCTATTTCCTTTTGGTCTTCAATCACACCGACTCCCTCTGATTTGCAGACTGAGGGTGATCTGAGGACAGTGGCATGACCATTCACCAGAGGACAAGGAAACCTAAGATTTGTCCTTCGTGTCTCTACTAACTCATTGTGTGTCATTGAGCCAGTTCCTTCCCCTCTCTGAGCCTCAGTTTCCTCATCTGAAAAAAAAAGCAGCTAGACTTAGCTTTCCCAGTCAAGACAGCAATTGAACACACATGAGCTTATTCCTGTGGAAACCTGGAATCCAGTTCAATTCACAAAAAAAAGTAGTAAATCATTCACAAACTCGATACAGTAACTACATTAATAACACATTATTTTCAACAAACCTCACACCTGTTCTGCGACACACCAGTGAAAACATTTGGACTAGAACTTCTATTGTTCTTTTCGGCTTAAAACAAAAACAACCCCAGTGTCATGATTTTCTCTCCCTCATCCTTATTCCAGCTCCTAAACATTATAATTGTATAAATCCATTTACACAAAGAGTATGAGTAATTTCTGGTAGTCCTTATGTGGTAACAGATTGTCTCTAAAAATACAATTTATGGAGTGCTCATTGTGTGCTGAACGCTCAAGCAAATGCAGTGCATGTGGAAAACAAATCCACAAGTGTTCTTGAAGGCCCAGCGTGGGTCCAGCACTGGGATGAGAGTGGGGAGAAATGAAGACACCACTAGCCACTGTCTGTGCACCAAGGACCTCCTATATGTCAGGGAGACAGAACATATACACTTGAAATAAGACACGGCTCCTGTCCTCAGGGAATGTATAACCAAGTGGGGAAGATGAGCTACTTATCCATGAAAGGGGCATGACAGGTCAGGGTCAGGGTCAGAAAAAAGATCAATGCAGACTAGACTGGCATTAGAATCTGAGAAGGCGGCCTGAAGGAGGCAGGACACAAGAAGAGCCTTGAAGTGGGGAAAGGCTTGGGGATTCAGCAAGCTTGAAAATACAGAGGGTGCCAAAAAAATGTATACACATTTAAGAAAGGAAAACTGTGTTAAAATTGTAATAATATACACCAATAACAAAAGATGAATACAAGTCTCATTTGACTTCTGCAATGACAAGAGGTGCTCAAAGTGGTTCCCATCAGCACCCAGACACTTCTGATGACGGCGAACTACTGCTTGAGCAACGTTGACCAAAGTGCTAACATCTTTCAAAATGTGTATACATTTTTTTGGCACGCCTGGTAAAAGACAGAAATAAGCATGCGGGAAACATTGAAGAGAATGGAAGGACTGGCTTGAATTACATTTTGATAGTGTTGAAAGCCAGAGTAAGAAGACATTTGGACTTGATTTCATTAAAAATGGAAAGTTTTTTAAGCAAAGTAAAAGTTGTAGAACTATCAATATCTGCA